TCATAGTTGGCACGCTCAACGGAACCTTGGGATTGGGGGTGACGCTGTTTATCATGTATGATCTTGGTGCTAGGCCACATCTGTGACACCTCCTCAAAGACAGCAGCAGTAAACTCTGAACCATTGTCACTCTGCAAGATGTCGACCAACTGATACGCTATTTCTTGGAGGTCAACACACATAACTTAGTGAGATGTCCTGATAATGCATACTCCATTTGAATTGACCTTGACACATGGATTGCATGTCAATCAAATCGACTTGTGCACGTTCTTGGTAACTTCTTTAAGCATATTGTCTCTACCACCAGCAATTCTCTGATGGTCTTTTGATATTCATGTCTTGGAATCAATACTCACTTGCTGGTGTTGTACAATTCATACAGGTGACATCTGAAGCGCAACTGACTCTTAGACTCCATTTTGGATATGAACCTTTCTGAGTTGCGGATGTTGTTATATACTGTTTCTTAATGAGCTCAGTTCTAAAATGAGTCAATCTCAAATTTGTTCATCAGCAAAGCCCATAGTTGGCCTTGTAGAATGGATAAACGTCTTACAATCACACTCCATAATCAGTAAGGAGGAATGTTTAATACAATTACCAGAATTACAAAACAAACAAACCTTGCTTAATTGACCCTTTGACCTCAGTTAGTTATTGATGCATTATTGCCCTCAATTGTGTCAATCTCAAATTTTCTCATGAGCAGTGAGAAGGAATGTGTAATAGAATTACCAGAATTACAAAACAAACAAACAGATTTCCTCCTTGCTTAATTCCCCTTTGAGCTCAGAAAGCTGTTCATGTTTCAAATTATTGACTTTGTTGGTCTTTCTTCGGTCTTCAACGAGAGTTCATGCATAAACCCATGCAAGCAGGGAAGAGCTTCGGGACCGTTCGACTATCTACGAGAGTGCACGGCAACGTTGAGGATAGATAGGTTTAACAGATGACGGTGCAAAGAGTATAGTTACAAGGACGCTGAAGTTCCGAATTCCAAATGTGTTAATATCCGTGAAGGTCCGGGTTAGAATTGGCCTTCAGTAACCCATGCTTGTCGTAAGAGGCGACTAACAGGATTGGGTGGTCAGACTCGCTGGCTTGGTTGACACTTGTTATCGGATCCCTACTGCGCAGATCCATGCCCATGCTTTTGATCACTGGATTGTCTGGTCCAGACTCGATTATTTACAGACCGCCGCCATACAGCTGGCATATTGCTGAGTGCGGCATAAATCTAAACTCACTCACTCGCTCACATAAAAAATAAGAGTTCAATACCAAATACGAATGCCGAATGACGAGTGCCGAATGTGCAAAAGAAAAAAAACGAATATGAAAAAAAAATTCAGATTCGGAATTCAAATCTCGAAACGCGAATTTAAAAAACTACTCAATTTGAGGTTCAAATATCGGAAAGTGTAGTTTGGTTGTTTATGTTTTTAAGTTACCCAGGCATACAACGAGCACCCAGTACAGTACATTAGAAGGGGGATGAAATATAAGAGTTCAAATACCGAATGCCGAGTGTCGAATGTGCCAAAATACCGAATATGAAAAAAAATTCATATTCGGGATCGAAACCCGAATGTTGGGAATCCCAAAACGCGAATTGAGAAAACATTAAAGGGGAATGAAATAAGGAATATTGACATTGTTCGTCTTTCTTCGATCGTCATTGAGGGTTGATTTTCTGCAATCAGGGAAGAGCTTCAGGGCCGTTCACTATCTCCGAGGCAACGGCAACGTCGAGGATAGATAAGATTAAGGTGCTATGAGTATAGTGACAAGCACGCCGAATGTGCAAAAGGAAATACCCGAATATGAAAAAAATTCAGATTTGGGATTCAAATCCCGAATGTGACAAAAAATATTCAGATTCGGGATTCAAATCACGAAACCCCAATGTTAGAAAACTCAGATTTCGGATTTCAAATATCGGAAACTGTAGTTTGGCTGTTTATGTTTTCCAGGTACACAACGAGCCCTAGTACATTAGAAGGGGGATGAAATAATGAATATTGACATTGTTCGTCTTTGATCGATCGTGATCGAGGGTTGACGCCTGCAAGTAGGGAAGAGCATCAGGACCGTTGACTATCTGCACGGCAACGTCGAGGATAGGTGCAAAGGGTATAGTTACAAGGACGCTGAAGTTCCTAATACCAGATTGGATTGAAGAAATGCATAATAAGAGTTCAAATACCAAATACCGAATGCCCAATGCCGAGTGCCGAATGTGCAAAAATGTGCAAAATGTGCAAACTTCATGTTGCTAGTTACAAACGGGACATGGAAACGTAGTTACAGCACTGCCTACACAATACTAATAAAAAGAGTGTAGAACAAGGTTAGTTCGTGCCTTTACTTGGGCACTTAATAAAAGGCAGGCGCATTTTCCAGCAAAATCCCCATTAACATCCAGTGATGATGTAGCGATGAAGAAGCAATTTGATGAATAGACCAATTATAGAGGAAATAATTTCATTCTGAACGTGAATAATGACGTAGTGTAAAATAATCTGTACGCAAATATAACCTAAGGCTTGTAACAACACGTGGAATGATGATATTAAGCATAACTTTAGTTAGATATTGTTACACCATATTTAGAAATACCATTCAGATATTGAAGATGAAACATTAGATATTTTTTAGGCCACTTGGTGTAATCATCACACTGCATCAAAATGGTTCAGTAAACGATCCTGTTAATTACGGTTTGATCACATCACTTAGTGTATTTATTGCATTATTACCAAGACGATCTTGATCTTTGCTGATTCATTCAAATACGTAAGTTTACTTTAGGGTGGGATGGACTTTCACAGATAGTATTTTCATATTTCATTAAGTAATTGAACAGTATCTGCCTAGAAGGAGAGGATAGCTGTACTCGCCTTTTGCTGATTTTAGCTCGACACAATACAGATTGTGGTTTATAGTAAGCTTAAGGTTCGTGGGTCTCGTGCAAAAATGTCAAAGTTATCATAAAGTTATCTATAGAAAGTAACGGTGTTCGGTTAGAATTTGAAGGTAGTAATGCAGGGTGTTTTTCTAAGTCCCTATGTTTATTTGATTAATTTGCCATGAAATGGAAGATAAGTGTCAAGATGGTATGCAATTAAGTCAATCAAGATATTTCAAAACAATTCCTTTTGCTGTTTACTATTCTCGTAATGTAATGATTTCTCAGAATATAACAAATCCAGCGTCAAATTTATGCTTTGGAGAGTCTTATGTACAATCATGTTCTTTCAACATGAAAACAAACGAAGGTAATTGTGTTTAAAGATGGCTGTGAAATATCTAAATTTAAAAAGAGGGGGTATATAGTTTCACACAAATAAGGTTCCAGATATAGCTACTAAATGCAAGTATTTGGGGGTGTTTATTTCTTAACTAAAATATCTTGGAATTTTTATGAAACAGAAACTGCAACACAAGCGATAAAGATTCTTTTGTTAAAAATATGAAGGTTGTGGTTAATATAAAGTTTGATGTGTTTTAAAAATATTTAAAGCAAAAATCAACTCAATTCTGTTATATTGTGATGATGGATAGGGATGAGTCATTTAGATGCTGGTTTGGGGTGTACATGAAAAAAGTTAAATCGTAGAATATCATGATCAATCTATTCCGATATACACTCAAACCTGTAGGATCTGTACATTCAGACTTGAAATGGAACGAGATACATCTACTAGGCGATGTTTCAGCCCAATTCCAGACCCTTTAAAATCACTCTCCCCAAATTTAGACAGTGCTTTTTTCTCACTTCTCATAGCCTTGAGAATGAACAAGGAAAAGCACAAAAATATCAAATGAAACCAAGTATGTGAACTTTGTCACCAAACTTTGTAAAACAACATGTGTACTTATATGTACAGAACAATCAATCAAATAATCTCTAAATATTAATGTATTAAACCTGTTACAGCTAAGGCATTTCATTCAATGAATTATAGAAATACCCTGGATTATTATTATTATTATTATTAATTCAATGAATTATAGAAATACCCTGGATTAACTGAACCATGTACAATGTACATTTCACTGTCCATACGATTTGCACTATAGACCTGATGCCTTTCAGTACTTGAAAATAAAGACTGATTGACTGATCCGTGTGTTTTTTTTATCTTTGTAACAAAAATATCAAATGAATCAAGAGTATGTAAACTTTGTTACAAACACCAAATAAAAAGATTTGTTCGTAATATTCATTAGCTTAACACACTTGTGTTCTTATATGTACAAATCTTAAACGAGTTATTAGAATGATGTGGATATGAAGATAAAGTAATGTAAGGCTTACGTAAGTGTAGGGTTATATTCTCTCTTGTAAAAAGAAAGGTTTCAAATATTGTTGTTTGTTTAATGCCACACTCAGAAATATTCTAGCTATATGGCGGCAGTCTGTAAACGGTTACACCGTCTTGGGAGTATTATGAACTGAGTATTACAAAGATGAGTGTGTGATGTGTTAAACCAACAGCATAATGTTAAGGATGAAAGGACGATTTGTGAAAAGCGGTGTGTGTGTGTGTGTGTGTGTGTGTGTCTGTATGTGTGTTGTGTGTTCTCTGTTTAAGTATGTAGTAAACTCTTTTTTGATCCAATACAACATTCTGATAACGTCATACACCATTTCATTTAATGGTGCATACCTCTGTTTAAATATTGCTACTTGTTCTGTCTTTTATTGCTTTCAACCAAAATGTTGTGCAGAATATAATTCAAATATCAGTACTGACAGCAACTTCCCCCAGCTGTTTGTATCTTAATCTGCATATATTTATGTGACCTTCAGTGTCAGTAGAAAAGATACAAAAAAGATACTTCTTAGAAAATATGGCGACATAACCAAACTGTGCATGACCCATAAAACGGGAAGTACAAAGGGATACGAAAGGCAATGTTCTTCCAATTAGGAATGTTTAGAAAGGCGAACGTGATTGTCAAAGAAAACATATTGAAATGATTCATCGGCGTGTGTTTTGAAATGTTTTTTAATCAGGCCAGCAAGCTATGGTACCATCAGTGAGGCAATACGGTAGAAGTTCAACTACAAAGTCAGAAGTATACATCCATGAAGATATAAAATAACGTATTACCTTGCTTTTAAAACGTTCAGCCTCTCTGTGTATTAGGTACAAAATTAATGCTTAATCTCTTGACATGATCTTAAAGTATATCCTGATGTAAAATGCGGCATTGATATATGGAAAAGGTTGCTGGAACTCGACTTCTTCTAAAGACCTCAAAACATCATAAATGCACGTGATGGGTGTCCATGAGATGAAAGCACCCCGTATTCTACTTTTGGCAGACAAAGTGGACCTCCTTCTCATCCGTGCGACTGGTAGATTCGTTTATGATGGTGAAACCAGCTTTGGCAACCATCTCTCTTGCCAAAGGTGCACCCCATGTTGCCCCAAGCGCTGCAGAGTCAGGCTGGCGGAAGCTCTCCGGGATGCACATAAACGTGCTTGCCGAGTAGTAGAACATAGATGTAGCATTTGCAATGTTGCCAGCAATTCCTCCCTCTATTCCGATGTCAATCATGCTGTAAATACCCCCTGGTTTCAGACACCGGTAGATCTGTTTTATGGCTTGCTGTGGATACGTTAGGTCGTGAATAACATCGCGAGTAAGTATCCAGTCAAAACTCTCGTTGTACTTATCAGATATGTTTTCAATATTGTCAGTGCTATAAGTGATATTCTGAATGCCACGGCTATTTGCATCTGCTTTGGCTCCTTCCAGTGGCTTGCTTGCTACGTCCGAACCAAGGAAGGTACTGTTCTTGAATCGAGAGGCTAATTTGTTTATAATGACTCCAGTTGCGCAGCCCAATTCCGCAACTTTGATCCCAGATTCTGTAATTGAAATGAGATAATGTCAGACGTCATTTAGAGAGGTATATGTACCCTTTTCATGCCTGCACACCTTCAGTTGGATTTTCTATTGAAGTAAATAAACCACCAATCGGTTAATCGGTTAAAAGTAATATGTCGACTGTGGGACAACTACGGGTGGTACGGGAGAGGCCTCAATGACACGTGGCTGGCTACCTAGCCAAGATCGTAATAGTCCATTATGCAATAGATTCCAATCTACTCCAGTAAGTAAAGGGGAGCTTGTGCAATAACAAGAAGGCCAATGTTAACATCTGCCATAAAAAGCCCCAGCTCTATATTTGCAGGCCGCCTATAAGATAAGGTGTGATCCCGTGACACCAAGTTAAAAGACGAATCAAATTTGTACTTCCTATTCACAGATGCAAGATTACGGTGTTGGCGACTTAGCAGCGACCGGTATACTAGGGCAACAATTGTTGATCACGATTGTTTATCATTATCATACCTTCACTACCATTTCATCACTTCCCATGTTGTTGTTGGTAGTAAACTTAGAAACAAACATTGGACATTGTGTGAAGATAAGGTTTCCAAATTTTGTCCCCCCCCAAAAAAAAATGAAAAAATGCAAAACACAGCGCTTGTGCATGGCAAATGTCAAACTATTGTGTAATTGTGATCTGAAATGATTGTGGCGTAGGAATCGTATCTAAAGTACTGTCGGAAATAGAAATAAAACTGTTTTTAGGCTGTTACTCTGTATCCCTAAAATTTACACAACTTCAAGTAGCATATGTTGAAATAACCAACATCGGCCTAACTGGGCGTTCAGTGGGATGTGTAATAGGATATCTAGAAATGCATGATTACTCGTAAAATCGGGCCAAACTTAGATAAAAATACGAATAGCTGCTGAAAACAATAGATCAGACTATAGATGGCAATTAGGTCGCTCAGCCAGGTATGACGACGGACCGTCGACTCACCTGGCATGAAATGCATGCGCTGCCTACAGGCACAAAGGGTCATCTCAAAGATATTTTGTGCTTTTTTCATGTGTATTGAATATGTCTCATCTATTGATTATCATCTTACGTGTTTATGTTGAGATATGTTAAACAATATGATCCCCATAGAAAAGCTTAAATCAGCTATTGTATTAAATGTCTCAAAACATATAGGTGGCAAGACCACCCCAAGATCGACAGGACTGGATATTATTTATTATTGTTAAGACATGCCGTTTACTTCCCCCAGTTTAATTTCCCTAAAAGATTATCTCATCTTAGCTGATATCTCTATTCCCCAGTACGACCCCAACCACAGTCTGTGACACTCGTCCTGGTTTTGCTTTTGAGACGACCCCTCCTACCTGTTTCTTGTTTAGCTCCATGGTAGCTACGTGATCCTTAATAGTTTCAGTTTTAAAGTGTTTTACGTCAGCTATCGTTTATAATGAAGCTAAGTCTAGTTTCAAAATAGGCATTTAAAAAGTGTCCTTTGAAATACAGTATCATCGCACACTAATTGCATAAAGCAATGGTCTGTTCTAAATAAGTCGCTTTGGACCTCATTGCTCATTTCTGCACTAATCTCTCCTCAGTAAAGTCCTTTTGTTACGTTTCCTGTCTCCCTACCACTGAGACTGTAGTTAGGCGGAAATTAGTTTAACAGATATTTCACACTTTCACATATTAACTTCATAAATTGTAGACATAAATGTGAAAAAAACAGTTCTTTTCTATTTCCGACAGTACTTTAGTACTTCAATTATTCTATTCCATTTACCTACCTAACCTTTGTGCCATCTGAGGAATGGCAGGCAGGATGTCCGTATCCACCATATCTTTCTTGACTGTCACCAACATTTCTTTTAGGACGTCAAACATCACAGGGGTTTCGCTGTAGACCATTCCTGAAAATAGGAAACTGTCCTTTTAGAAAAACATATTAATACTTTACATATTGCAAATGTGAGAAAGCTTAAAGTATGTATGGTTTCCCGCAGACTGTAAACTAAAAGTGGCAAAAGGATTTCTGTAATAACTGAAAGGTTCTAAAAGCACATTTCATTGTAGTAATTAGAATACATCTTAAGGATATTATTCTGAACCCCCATCACATAGTTGTTGTTGTTGTTGTGCTTCTTGTTTACCGCCAGGCTAAGCAACATTCCAGCTTATTGAAGATGGTCTACAGTCGAGTCTGAGCAAGACAATCCCTGGCCTGAATTTCCAAATAACAAACCTCTTTCGAAAACATGCATTAGCCTTGAATGTTGCATCCCTAACATTGGAGTATGAGTTTTATAACGAATATTGAAATCTTCATAGATTGTAGCACAAACGTTGCAAAATGTTGACATCTTATTTTAAAGGCACTATATCACACCACACTTCTTTAAAAATAAATAATGCAATTCTCTCAATAATACTGACTATCAGCTCTCAGGGAAACAACCATATAATTTATTCCAAAGAAACATGACGTATTCGGATTACAATATTAAATCGAAAAGTTCCAATGAATTAATGCAAGGTTGCATTAAATCGACTCTCGCGCCCTCTGCCGACCGAACATTATTTCAAGCGAAACCCCATTTGTGACCAACTCGTGTTATTCCGGGACAAGCCGAATACCGACTCGTGCACTTATTGGGGCATGAACGTCAGAACTACTTTAATCAAGAATGATAACTCTATTCCTGTTGGATTCCAATGTTACTTAACATCACCGAAGCACTCGTACATTGTATTGCTGTTTTTCTTTATACTTGTATAGTTTAAAGAATTATGCCTACAACTAAAAGAAGGATAAAAACATATTTGTTAAGACATATTCTAATGTAATTATTACCAGCTGTTCACCTTATATTTCCAATTATGGTAATTTTCTAAATAGGGTTTAAAAGTCACAAATGGGAATTGTTTTATTGTATATGCAAATAAAAGTTTAAAAATTTCAGCTACATTAAATCCCAAAGAAGATACTCAATAATGACTTTAAAATATTCCTCAAACTGAACATTCGTGTAATCTTGTTGCCATACCCCTGGTGGAATTGTAAATGAATTCGCTGAAAAAGACATGAATGACCAAAGAAATAGTCAGACTAAAATATCCACAGAGATGTGAATTATAAGCCCAGTGTTAAAGATTAAAGTTGATTAGTTACATACAAATATAATATTATTGTTTTGAAACTCGTAACGATTTATGATTACATTTTCCTAAAATTGTTGGAAGCGCACGAACAATCTCCATAACAAGCCCCCGCAAGATTGTCAGAAATACCCTCAGTTGGACCCATGAGAGCTGTTATGTCAACAAACGCACGTGCGTGTATTTGAATCTCTCACCGTCAATCGAATGATTCTTATAAAAACTTCATAACAGACAGCAAAATCCTGTTAGCTACGTTCTTTGTACTTTCAATATGACGATATATATTTCTCATAATTTTTTAAACAATGATATGATGCCATAAACGATTTAAGTACTCGGGATTATTTTTATCAAAGCACCGGAGTCATTTATGCGCGTTCTGATTGGTTTGTCGTATTTTCGCACATAACAAGCATCGATAAGGGAACGAGTCTTCTTGGAGGTTACGGAAAGGGGCGAGTGGTGACGAATGGTGAAACCCCATAGAGTTATGTCCCTTGGAGCACTCTTTACAAATATCCTACGCACATCTTGTGATAGGCAAACACCGACAACACGGCGTGAGACAGTTTTCGATGTACGGAGCAATTGTTTACATTCCATATATGGCAAGTGTTCTCTGTTTGGAAGCTGTTGGCCTCGAAGTTTCAGTAATCGATTTCAGCAAGCCGTAAGGGATAATAAGTCTTTTATTGCATTAACAGGAAGCTAAAGTGAGTGCATATGTCCCAATACATGTGATATAGGCCAAAATATTGTCGAAAATGTGTGACACTGTGCCTTTTAAGGCTGGAGCTGCTGAAATTTGCTCGTCATAAAGTCGGTCTGCAGAACATATGGATGATCTACCAAAAACGATAAAAATTGGGAGTAAAAGGGAAAAATGAAATTATGTAATTGGGCCGGACCCATACAAATGTTGAAATCTTGTCATTTGTCACCCGTCTTGTGAATGTTACATATTTGTGTTTTCTGTCACTCTGAATCTTTATCTCTATACTGGACCAAAAACATCTAACAGATTATAATTAAAAGGAATTTTGAAAGCATTAATTTAATAGCGATGACTATGAAAATTTAGACACAACGTTAATGAGTGAAACTCGGTCATTGGTGCCTTATGAAGGACATAAAAGGACAGTTTTGTCATATTGTTCATTATGAGAAAATTGAAGTTCGGTAACAATAGTTACAATTATTTCCTGAACTTGAATAATAATTATGATAAGCGTATGTCAGTATAAGTTTTATGAACAAGAGTCCTTCTAGGATTCATGATACTAGTCATATCGGATTAGTCACAGGAAGAACTTATGATGCATTTTCCCATATATCTGTCGAATGGCACCTAACTCCGTTTCATTCTCCATGTTCAGTCTTAAGTGGCTTACTACTCATGTCTGGAAATGGAAACGCACATAATGTTATACGGGTAATATAGGTGAAATTATTTTCGTATGTGCATATGCCATGACCTTACCGCCAGGATTCCGTTGTTGAGCACAATCCTTGACATTATTATATCTTATACCCAACTGTGGCATAAGTCTGGAAAATACCGACACTGTCACTAATGCTTGTTTGTGATCCTCTGGAACATGGAACTTTGTGGACATGTCGTCCACGCTGATGACTTCCCCGACAGACAGGGAACCCAGGATCTCACGGACATACCTTTGAATAAACATACAATGTATGTCATTAGAACATGTATTTAGTGCAGTGATGCTAAATGCTCATGATATATAGTCCTGTAATAGTATAATGTCGATATTCGGAACAGTATCCTTCCCATTGTCTATATGAACGTGTTCTGGTAGTCAGTGGTTTTCATGGTATTGGTCACCTTGTTTGAAACGGGTCCAATCTGTCATTGTATGTCATGGAAGAAAAACTATGTTTAAAGATGGGCCCGATCTATCAATGTGGCTATAATTGTTTTTCACTGCAACTGCAATACATGTACAGAACAAAATCTATTTTAGATGGGTCCAATCTACCAATGTGTCTATCAATGTTGTTTGTCACCCTTTCTTCAGTACATGTGCAAAACACAAAATGATTGAGATGGTTCCAATCTATCAATGTACTTATCAATGTTGTTGCTGCTTCAAGGCACGTGGAAGTGTTATTCAGAGTGAAACAGTGTTGTAACTGCAGGGCGTTTTTGCTTGTTAGATCCAGAGAGTGGTGTGCTTGACTTTTTTAACAGAATATTGTCATTGTATTTGTACTGCCGCTCTATTTTTCTACCATTGTTATTCCTTTGCATGAATTTGTATTGATTTGTATTCTTAGCTATATCTTAGTTATTTCCTTTAACTTGTGTCGTTTCACAAAGATGTATTTTATTGACAGATTACTGGTTAACTCATCGTTTCCACTTTGAAATGTCCACAATACCTTTCTCTAAGGTTTAGCTTGTCAGCCACTTGCTGTGATGTAAGAGGCTGTTTGGCTTCCATCAGCACGTCCACTACTCCCAGTTCCCGCGCCAGAGACAAGCAGATCATGACACCACTGGTGCCGATATGGTTCATCATCTTCTTTGAGTAGTCCGACATCGTCTCGAATAGAGGGATGGTTGTGTTGGTTGTGTTGAATCTGACTGACAGATGAAATTGTCAAATAAATCTCATGAGAAATCTTCCCATAAAATAGGCCAATGTGAAATCGGGCAACTTGATAGTATTGATCATAGGTTGGAGCTTTATATATAAGATCAATGTAGCTGTTTGTCTGAAACCAAGTTTATCGTCGAGATAAAGCTTGTTAACCTTACATTCACTATGTGACTCCACACTATTTAAAGCGTGGATTTGGGGTGAGTATATCAAGTTATCAAGACTCTAAAAATACATACAACCCCACGGTTTAAAAATGTCATGGTCATGATTAGAGGATACGTGTAGTTGTTGTAAACTTGGAGACAACCTTGTTTTGTGCAGGGGCATACAATGACACACCGTCCCAGTTTAACTTTGGCAAGCTCAGCTAGAGCAGTTAGGACGCACAGTATAGTAAGGCAGGACACACTCAGGTGTGTCCAGGTGCATTCATAGGCTTCAGCGTCGTTTCACCCCAAGTAGTTTGACGGGGTCATTTGAACCCGGGTTGTTTCATACGAACAGGGTCAATGCCCACATTAGGGGTTATTTCACCCCTAATCAAGAATTGTTTCACCCAACTAATGTATACTCCAAACTAATATTTGGGTTTAACAGGAAAAAAGGAAATCTGCTGTATGTATGAGAAAATGTTTATGTTATGTTTTTGAAACTAACGTCATAACACTAGGTCATTCTCGTCTAATGAATGTTATATCATAACAGAAAAATTGACAAACCCATACCTGGTAGTAGGACCATAAAAGGGCGATTGTGTAGCAACTAAATTAACAATGTCGGTATGAGATGTGACTATCATATGCGTTGATAAAAACGAGACAGCAGCAGTATAGTGCAGAGACCAGATGAATGAAAACTCCCTGGGTGATGGTGTTCCAAATATCAACGAAAGATGTTCCCATTCACTTACCGTGAATACGTACGCGTGTGAGTATCATGTCCATCAACACACAGACGTTCAATTTGAATGCGCTGTGCATTTACATGCAAATTATAATTCACCTTTTCAAAGTCGAGGAGATATAGTCGTGAATAAGCATTATGTATAGTAGTGTATGACCAGAAATTATTGAGAAGTTTAGGAATATGTTTAATTGGATTTCTAGTATAAACAACCTTGACCAGCTATCAAGTGATTGGTTTCATTCAAGAGAGACAACTCCGTTAATCCTTTTTTCATTAGTATATGATGAGTTTTCCCCCTTTGTTTACTTTACAGATCAGCTAAAGTGATTTCAAATAGAACAGGCATCCCTTTGTCCACTGTTTATCGTGTTTTGAAAAATATTGCAAATGGATATGGCATTGAGCACCAGGGAGGCCCAGTTAGGCCCACAAAATTGACTGTCGGTGACAGGAGGCGGCTTGGTATTCTTGTTTCTAAAAAGAAACGAAGGAGTTTGGAAAACTTAAGTGAGTGAGTGAGTTAATATTTAACGTCACATCGGCAATATTTCAGCCATATAGTGACGAGAAAAGAAAACTTAAGGCTGGATATGATTGATAGAGGAACTGTCGTTGTCTGTAAGGAGACAATTAGAACTGCTGCATGCAATGGACCTGAACAAGTGAGTGAGTGAGTTAATATTTAACGTCACATCGGCAATATCTCAGCCATATCGTGACGAAAACAATTTATACAATAAAAAGTGAAAACATTTTGAAGATTAAAACCTGTCGACGATGGACAGTAAAAATACTAGAAAATCCCAGATATGAATATAAAACTACCGAGCAAAGCTAAAACATTCCAATTAAAGAAGACAACACAATATAAAACACGGGCTATAGATCGCCAACAACTGAAGGTAGATCACCATACTAGAAACCATGGGGACTTACATTACTTTTGCTACCTGCATGGAGCCTAGCTGGATTTACACCATCCCTTCAGCCGTTGGCGATTGTAGGATAAGTTAGCCGAAATTTACAAGAACAAAAATACTACGTTTAAAAACTTGGTACGAGAAAATTTCACTTTGAAAGTTTTTTGGGACTTACGTACCCTCTCGGGAGGACAATAATTTTACGCTACTTCAACCCCCCTTGAGGATACAGCGACTAACAATCTAAGTTGATAATCTGAACTACCAATTATAAAACTTTATCTTTATACAAAACATATATCAAAATTCATTTAACAAATCCATCTCTTTTAAAAAAATCAATGATTAAACGATAATTATCTTAAAAAGGTCCTTTACTGTTTTGATATTGAAATATTTATCCCTTATGATGGAGAATTCAATACAGTCAACCTGGACATGCTTGGCCATGGTGAAACCTGAACAAAAGGAGCGAAGGTTGAACTGATGCTTACAGCATAGAATGTTTAACTGGGACAATGTGATTTTCTCAGATGAAAGTTCTGTGTGGCTGTTTCCTAATACACTGAAATTCTGGACCAAACAAACTGAAAAACCTTTGTATCAGCGCCCAAAGTACAGTCCGAAATTTAACGTGTGGGGTGGCATATCTGTGTTAGGGGCAACGCCCCTCTGTGTATTTGAAGGGAATATGAACAGTGAGCGGTACACAGATATTCTCGAGGGACATTTACTTCCATCTGCTCACGTGTTCTATGGAAATGTTTGGATTTTCCAGCAGGACAACGACCCAAAACATCGTTCAAAGCATTCACAGGCATGGTTTCGGACCCAAAATATGACATTATTAGATTGGCCAAGCTATAGCCCTGACCTAAATCCAGTAGAAAAAATGTTTGGGGACTTGTGAAGGAAAGTGTCAATAAGAAAAATCTTACAAATATTGCTGAAATGAAAGAAGAGGTGGTCCGATATTGGGACAGCACGGACCACGACTTTCTGACCTCTTTGATCAGTAGTATGCCCCGCCGCATTGAAGCCTGCATTGCTGCCCGTTGTGACTTGACAAAATACTAACTGTTCACCTGTCTTTGAATTGGGAGTTATGTTCTGCTAATATTCACATTTAATACGTGAGTAATGAGTGAAAAAAAAATACAATCTTTAAATTCTCAATAATTTCTGGTTTTACTGTATATATCTAATTTCAGAACAGTTCTTCTTGAAACAAGTGCTATATTTTCAGAAGAAAAATGGGACGTGTTACAGAGTTGACCTGACACCAAAGGGCATATTTGGCAATCATACGGAAACAGGAGATCAGATGAAAACTCAAAACTTCGAAGCAATAATAATTAACAATGTGTATGATATGACACTCGCTTCCATTCAACTGAGTACTTAAAATCAACTCAAAATAATGATAATTTGTAAATAGTCAAAGGGGCAAGTAAAATAAACAATAATTGCACATGACAATGTAATATCTAAGTGATTGTAAGTCAGCTTGACGATTCAATCATTTGTTTTGAGAAATGTTTTCATGCAGTTAATAAATTCGACAAAACCTATTGGAACGGAATCTCCATTGTACGACTCCGACCATATCATGAGTGTCTATGTATGAGACACTATCAAATATTAGATATGCTGTCACTATTAGATATAAGAACGTTGAGTGACTGCGATAGAGAGAGGGAGAGGCAGTGTGTGAGATATGTCTGCCTCATTGCATGCTGATGTAACTTTGCAGGCTCGATGGGTGTTTCAAGAATATAGTTGCAACTATGTTCTTAAAACACTCCGGCATTAATGGGTACAACCACAAGGACTGGTTGGCTCGGAGTCAGTATACTGTGTCTGAGTGTGGTATTCATGCTTCACTGCGGCGTGGTATCTCAGCGGGCTAGCACTATAAAAACAGCTTAAAGGAGAATACGAGTGAATTGCAATAATTTGATGGGTGAAAGATAAAGTCATCAGAAACATATTCCCAAATTTTCAATTAAGAAATAGGTATAATTATGTTTTAATCGCGAAAACAGTTTCTGTAAATCTAAGCTTCGGCCATTATGCATATTTCGCTGGAACCCACGTGACCTTTCCGCTCGTGACGTCAAATGTGCCTTGGGTCCGCCATATTGCCAAAGACTAAGCGCTACAGTAGTACAAATCGTGTTGTTTTTATCGGTTTTTTAAATGGTACGATGGTGTATAGTATGCGTTGCCTGGGGATGCACGGCATCATCGAACATGGGAAAGAACCACCATTTCTTCCGTTTTCCAAGTGAAATGACAGATTTCGGCAGGAGAAATGCGCCCATCATTCCGAGTCGGACGCATATGAAAGAGACATGCACGCATGGCGTATGGAAATCCCCAAGCTAGGCTGAAGAAGGAAAAAGTACCCACGAGATTCATTAATTATACTCCCATCATTCCCTGTAACAACTTACTGTCAGTGGTATTTTTAACATAAATTAAAGAAAGTCCGATTGCCAGTCGAATTGCCCCCGCTACAAAATGACCCAGCAAATTTGGTCAAATTGCCCCAGTGGGGTAGTCAAAATGCCCCAATTTATTTAAAATGAATAAATATAGGCCATAAATGCATAGTTTTGTCAACTTTGATATTATGTTCTTCATAAATAAGTATATACATAGATATGAGTTTACTGATGAAACATTTATCAGAAATATTACTTCCTAATAACTTTTATATGAAGAACATAATATCATAATAAGTTGACAAAAAACTATGCATTTACGGCATATATTCAATCATTATACATAAATTTTAACAAATTAGAATGAATGACCAAATTTGCTGGAGCATTTTGAAGCTGGGGCAGTTCGACTAGTACACATGAGATATATATTATCAAAATCAGTAAGAGATTTCACATGAGCTTGAAAATGTTTCGCTATAACATTCTTTTCGGTTTGGAGCCCTAAATGATGCAGTCTACTCAAAACATTGCCGAATACAACGGCAAATCACGAAGTACTCGTTGCTTTCATTGTTTTCCATTTTGTCCAGTTACGCACGTCGGCATCAGACTCGTTATTCGTCAGTAGTGTGTGCCGTGAAAGTTGTTCTGTATTCTCATTGGCTGACAGGATGTCATTCTGAGTCTATGACCGAGTACAATGACTATTTCCATAACCAAAC